TGTTCGAAAAGGAAAATTTTAAAGTAGCTTTCTGTATCTTTGTTTTGTTTTCAAGTATAAATATATAAACATCCTTAAAACGAGATTAGTTCACTTGAGAAGCAACACTGCATAAGAAATTAATATTAAAATATATTTTCAGAGTATATCTTAAATTAAGCTATTTTAAAAAAATATTTTTATTAAACTTAATTATGCTTAAAAAAAAGAAAAAATAATAATTTTAGACTTCAGCATCTTAATAAAAATAAGTAACTATTGATATTAAATAAATACACTAGAATTAAAAAGTTGATAATGTTACAAAAGATTCCTATTTCGAACGTTTTATTCATCAAAGAGTCCTGAATTTTTTTTTACAGTTTCCACAAAAATATTAAGCAGCACAACAGTTTTCAACATTGCTAATAATCAGAAATGTTTCTTGAGCAGCAAATCAGCATATTAGAATGATTTCTGAAGGATCGTGTGACACTGAAGACTGGAGTAATGATTAAAGTAGAAGTTATTTATTTTAATTACAATAATATTTCACAATATTACTGTTTTTACTGTTTGTTTGTTTGTGTGTTTGTTTAATGATCAAATAAATGCAAATGAACATTGGCTTTCAAAAACATAAAAAAAATCTTACTGACCCTAAACATTTGAATAGTGGTTTATTTTTTGAAAATGCATCTTTAATTAGGTGAAATGTTTTTTTTAAACATAAACCTCAATACCATTTTTAAAATGTGATAAGATGAAACAAAAGCTTAATTCTAAGTCTTAATATATTATGCAGTTATGCCTCTCAAGTAAACATATTTTCCCCCCTTTTTTTCTTTTTTTTTTTAGATATTTTACTGAAAGTTTTGCTCCATCTTAAAAATGTGTTAGATAGATTTGATTAGAATTCCACCATTGTACTTTTTGATCTGTTCTTTTGTTTGTTCTTTTGCCACCCCCAGCCTTTATGACACAACAATTACATGAAGAACCTCAGTGTTACAATTGATGTACTTTACTGTCTGCTCAAACAAAAGGTCCATTAAAGTGCCCTACTCTCTCTCTCTCACTCACTCTCTCTCCCCCTCTCATATTCTCCTTCTCTCTCTCTCTCCCCCCCTCACTCCCTCACTCTTTCTTCCTGTCTGTGTCTATGAGGGTCGCCTAAAGAAAATAAATGAGAACCATAACAAAGTCAAGAGCCACAAGATCAATAAACAGCCTAATGAATACCATTCTCTGCGCATGCCCCGACGTGCTCCGAGAAGGACTCTTTGTTTCTTTGTAAGTGTGAAAACGCAAAGGGGGTTTGGGAAAATGAAAAGCAGAATTCCACAGAGTGGGAGATTGTGAGTGTATTTGGAAGGAAGGGCAGTATGTGTTTATAGAGAGCTCGACCAGCAGCGCAGATTGACAGGAAATGGTGTCTTTTCTTAGGCGGCTGGGCCGTACCACTAGCAGCGGGCCGACGGGGGTGGGGAGGGGGGTGAAGATGGATGAGGCAAGGCCGAGACGCAGGCACCTCTGTTGCTCCCGGCATTGTGTTCAGCTGTTTGCTTGACTTGAACCCTGGTATGGCTTCGTCCACTCCCCAGCTGTTCACTCATTGAAAGCCATTGGCACTGACACTGGCAGAGCTATTTATTTCATTAGGGTTTTTTTTTCTTCAGGTCATGAAGTGCTGATTGCCTGTGTTGTGGAGGTATATGTGGTTTATTAGGGGTAGGGTGAGAAATTTGGGGCAACTAGGATTGTGTGTGTGGGGGGGGGGCAAGAACTTGTTGAATTGACTGGTAATCTCTGAGCTGCTTGTTACATGATCTAGTGTTTGTACACCAAACCCAATGGTCATGGTCATGACAACCTGAGAAAAAAAAAAAAAAAAAAAAACATTTCCATACTTAGAAAAGTTTCTAGTTGTGGTCTGCTTTAAAGTATTTACTCGGCTAGATATTGTGTAGAGTAAAATTTGCCGCAAATCACCACAGTAACATTTTATGAGTGTGCAAATGGCTTCAATATGTATAATAGCTTGCTTGTAGAATCTTGGTATCTGATATAGAAATGGAAATCTATCCCAGCAATCTATTAAATGATTCTGAACAGCTTGAAAGGTCATGCAAAAAAAGGTCATTAGTCAAAATAGTGTGGGAGACCTGAATGCCAAAGTAGATGCCATTTGAATTTGTACTTGAATGAAAACAAGGCTATGAGGAATAGAAGTACATTTCATTTTAAACGTTGTACATCTAATTGAGTTTTGAAAAAATTAAATGTTTAATTTATTAGAATATATAAAGCATATTAAAAATAATTAAAATATATTTTCAATTATTTATCATATTATTATTGTATTAATATTAAATTATACAAATTAAAAAAGGATTGATTTATTTGTTAAATATTTAGGACAGGAACGGCTAACTGTTCCTGTAGACCAATAGACCATCATCCGGGTAGACATTTTTAATTTAATTTAATTGCATGCAAATGATAATAAGGCTGTGAGAAATAGAACTGCGTTTTATTTGATAGGCTGTACTGTATGGTCACATCTAATTTTTTGTATTAATAATTTATAATAGTTTTAATTAATAATAATAATAATGTTGTTGTTTTAAATACTTGATAATACCTCACAGGCATACCACCTTCGGTCAGACGGTCCTGTCTGTCCGGGGTGGGAACCTGTGGAACAGTCTTCCTCGAACACTAAAAGAATGTACTACATATAGCTCGTTTAAAGTCCAGCTGAAAAAATGGCTATGGGCAAATCAAAGCTGCACACACTAGTATGTAGGTTTTATCTGTTTTAATTTTGTTATTTTTTTTTATTTTATTTTTTTGTAACGTGTATATGGATGAGTGTTTTTGTGAAGTTGAATGTAGTCTTGGGTGAATATTGTATATAGGATGTAGCTAATTTATGAATTGACTGTAGATGTAAAATTTTACTTTGTAATGTTTTGTGAGTTCTATGATCCTGGCCCGTGGGACTACGGATGGAAATTAGCCTTTGGCTAAAATCCGGCATTTTTACATGCATGTACTCCATGTTATGTTCATTAAAATGCACTGTCCCAATCAAATAAAGAAAAGAAAAAAAAAGAAAAAAATTGTACTTATTTAGTAAATATTTGGGGCAGGAATGGAAATCAACTAAGTTTGATTGGTTAAAATAGAATCATATGGTAATATCTGATTTGGTTTTGTGATGCTAAACCAGTAGACTGTTGTCAATGTAGACATCATATTTCATTACACACAAATGATAATGAGGCTGTGAGAGATGGCTGTACAGCCCATTCAAGATCCTAGGTCATGTACAGACACACTCAGAATCTGTGCAGAACTCTGTAGAGCTCATTATTTTATTAAATATTTGACTAATTAGATAATGCTGTCAGCTACCAGTAAGATGGATATTTAGGGTGTGTACACACTTGTAGTTCGGTTCGCTTGGTTCGGACAAAAAAACAAAAATGTAGTCCTGGTCCGCTTAGCGTTCTGGGATTTTTATCACTGAACCAAGATACAGAACCTAAAGGCATAGGGATACGTTCACAACCTGATTGGTCGGCTTTTATGACGTATTGCCAATTTTGAGACGGAACTTACCGAACATCCAAAACAATGCTGTGTGCTGGGCTAAATGTGCGTACCCTACATATTATGGTATTTTGACCAGCGGAGAACTCGTGAAGAGCTTATGAAATGTGTAAAGGAGTCAAAACAGCCGCAGGAATCCCTCCGTCACACACACAAACGAAGATCTGCTGCGAGGAGAAGCGGTTCTGATGCCTGTATCGAACTGTGATGGGGAACATCATGACATGACGAGAAAAAAACGATATGCGTGAGCATTCTGTCCTTTTAGGGTCTCATCTTCCTGTTTTTGGTACGCTTGCATGTCTTTGGTCTATGCTGCATTCATATTTCATTGGAACCAAGTTCGTTTAGAAGCGTACCGTAACCCATCTTTTCAGCGGTCTCGGTCCGCTTGTTTGGTGCGCACCAGGGTTCAGATGGCAGCATTCACACGTTCAAATGAACCGCAATCGCACCAGGGTTCGTTTTAATCCAACCAAACTTGCCAAGTGTGAACATACCCTAACTATTTGAATCCATCATTAAGATCGGCCGTTCATTTAGAACAGCCCATGTTTCCCCAGTTGTTTTACTCTCTATGAATGACTAATTTTTTGTAGTTTCATCTGCTAAGTAAGCAACTTCAGCTTTAACCGAGTGTATGGTTCTACCCCCTCACAGCCTAATTTTCACGCATGTCAAATGAAATTGACGCTTTCTACTGACTGTAGTCCATGGGAAGAGACTCAAATTCATCATGTCTTCGTTGCAAGTGTGAAGACAAGCCCTGACATTCCTTCCCAAGTTCATCTTCCTGTTGGTCTCCTGCTTGGCGTCCTCTAGCGCATGGATTCTCCCTGCAAACTGAATAAAGTTCTTCTTTTAAAAGCTTCTATGAGGGCCAGAGGGGGCTTTGAATATTCGCCACATACTTAATGAGGTAGAGACAGCAGCGGCCATCAGTCATTTACTCTGTTTTTGTGGAGACAAAGGCGAGAATTTTGCCCTGGCATCTGCTGCTTGCACAATGCTCACTCTCTCTCTCTCACTCTCTCTCACTCGCTCTGGACTTTAATGTGGTTATGATTAGAGACGGGGCTGAGGGATGGGTTCGGGGGGTGGGACTCATGTGTACTGCAAGGGAAAAAAGGGGGAGGTGCGCAAAGCAAGAGAGCCTGTTTGTGTGCAGTGCGTGCTGAAATATGAATCACAAAAGAGACAAAAAGAGGCCAGCTAGAATCAAATAAAAGTTTGTCCTCTAACCAGATCAGAGCTGGCAATGCAAACACACAAATGGCCCCTCCCTGTGGCCCTCTCTCTCTCTCTCTCTCTCTCTCTCTGTCTTTCTCCACCCTCTCTCTCTCACACCCCCCCCCCCCCCCCCCCCCCTCTTCTCGATCACCCTCTCTCTCTCTCTCTCTCCACCCCCCTCTGTGTGCGCAGGACTGAGGCAGTTGGTTCGCTCCAGTGTGTCTGAGAGCCGCGAGTGCTATGTGGGGCTGTTATTTAGGTCTGTTACAACACGCTAGGAGCAGCTCACCCCGAGCAACCAGCACTGCAGATCAGCCGGAGAGGGAAAGAGAAACAAGCAGCGTGAGAGAGAGAGAGGAAACGCTTACAAGAGCAAAAGCAGCGGGATCAGGCAGCACGTATATCCTGAGTAGAGGAATTCCAGCAGGGGATTTAACGCTGTCGTAGCTGCGGGTGTTGTTATTGTTTTTTTTGGTGACGCGAGGCAATCGGAGGCGGGTGGGTGACAGGGACGCATCATGTTCGACTGTATGGAGGCTCTGGGCATGGGTCCCCGCCAACTCTACGATGTCACCAACCGGGGTGCATGCATGCTTCGGAAGGCGAGTCCCTTCTACGCCGGACTGGACCCTTTCGCTTGGACAGGGACGGCTAGTGTACGCTGTAAGTGCCTTTTCTTATTCATTTAAACGGGGCCTCTGATCTCACGTTGACCCTCGGTGCCAAACGAACCACTCGAGCTGCATTTATCAAGCTGCGTTTGAGATGCTGTTTGAGTCGATCGCTTTCCATGATTGTCACGAACAGAGTCTGGTTTCACCAACAGTGTGGGTAACCTGATTTTTGACCTTGTCAGTTGATGAAAAGTTAAACAGAAAGGAAGTAATGCGAGAGGGAGAGATGAAAGAGAGAGTGTTTGAGAGAAAGAGAGAGAGAGAGAGAAGTGGGTGGGGGGGGAACCTGACACTGTGCTATAATTTCAGTCATGCAGATTGCATTTGTCTTCTTTACTTCACAATTGTGCCTGACAGCTCTGGTATCCCAGCATGCCTGACCACGGCTCAGCCCACACAACAGCATCAAACAAGCGTAAAAGTGAAAAAAAAAAAAAAAAACGTGAGGGACATTACTCAAGTATGTGTCACTGATGAAACTCTTAGATTGGGAATTGGAAAGCGGGTTGGGTGATTAGACTGTGACAGGAATCCAAATTGCAAACGGCATGAAATAAATAGTAAAGAATTGGCTTAAATATACTGAGTGGAAAGTTTAGTAAGTATGAGAGCTTGAAACCTGGACAGCCTTTCGTTTTTTCTCTCTCTCTGTCTCCATTTCAATCATTTTATTTTTCCTACCTCCTTTCCAGACTTTAGACAGCCTTTGGCTCTAAAAACAGTCCTGCTTTAGCAAAACTGGGGTCCATAATAATAGGGGACCAGACTGAGAGAAAGGGAAAACAAGCAATACTGCAATACAATGCGACACTGAGGGAAAAGAACTCAGATGTTCAGATCTGTAAACATCGCCGTTACCCTTTTCCCAAAATGCACGCCGCTCTTGTTGTTTTCCATTTGTATTTGTCGAAGCTTCTGCTTTTTGTTCCTCCTTCTCGGCCTCTGAGGGCAACTCATCTGTCTTCATTAATCGTGAAAGACACCAACGTTTCAGTGGCTGTCAGCCACACTGGGTTCTCTTTAATGAAGACAGATGCCCTGTCTGAGCTCGACCCGGAGGGGAGGGGAGGGAGGGAGGTCCATAATGCCTCTTCTCCTTGGCCAGAGCCCTGATGATAACAAGATGAAATCTGTTTATTTAATCAGTCATGTCTCACCAACGCTACACAAGCACACAGTCAGGGCCCACGATGGAAAACGAGCCCTCCGAATGCGCCACTGCTGCATCTCGGATTCTGTTCCTTCGTGGTTCCAGCAAATAGTGGATATCGAGAGGCAATTGGACAGATCCTGCTGCCCTCAGGGAAGAGCAGAAGCGGTGTACTGTTACAAGCCACCATGCCCAGTAACCTCTGTAAACAAGACTAGTCTATCCGACCACAGGATACACTCAGTAGTTGCCTTTCATTGTCCTCTTTGACCAGATTAATCAATGTTTTAGTTCAGTATTACAGGCCAGCTGCAATGCATTTTGGGTAATCTTCTCTAAGACTTAAGTTTGTCTCACTGTCTCTTAAAGTTTCATCTTTTTTTGTGTCTTTATTTGATTAGCGAACATCAAAAGGGTGTAGGGAGACATTGCAGGCCAAGACTCGAACCTATGTTGCCCACATGAGCACCATGGCTTAATACATCTGGGGGATTTTAGCACTTTTTCTACACTTTAGACTTTGTGTGATGTCTTCATAAACTATAAACATTCTGGATTGTGCTGGTCATGTGACTACAATACTGTTCAATAAATTCAGCAAGAATGCATTAAATCAATCAAAAGTGACAGTAAAAACTTTATTTGAGTTCTATTTCAAATAAACTCTGGTGTTTTGAACTTTCTATTCATCAAATAATCCTGAAAAAGATATTAAGCGGCACAGCTGTTTTCAACATTAATAATAATATTCAAATTATTAAAGGATCTTGTGACACTGAAGACTGGAGTTCTTGGAGATATTACATTTTAAAATATGTTAAAATATTTCACAGTCTGTTTTACTGTATGTTTAATCAAATAAATTAAATAAAAAACCATAGTGAGCATAAGAGACTTCAAATGTTTTCAAAGACATCTTACCGACCCTAAACCTTTGAACGTACATGGATATTCTTATGTGTTTGATATGCTAATTGTACATGTGTTTATTGCATTTAGATGTTTTGCTTTTATTTTCACAACAGAGTGATTGAAATGTGCCAGTGTTTTGGTTGGTAATGGCTTCCAGGAAACTTGAACCACACAGTAAACCATGTTGACAATGTAGGGTCTTCACTTGCATTGCCCTGCACGATTCACAAAACCACTGCTGCCTGTTAGAGGTGAAAAGCAAGATAATCTCAGGACACTGTCAGTGTGGCCAGTCTTTCCTGTTTTTATGTGCAGCAGTTCAAGACCTTTGCAGTTTTAAAAAAAAAATCAATGTCAGAGGTTATGGAGAGGCTTTGCACGGGCCAATGTCGGCTCTCGTGACTATGTGAGCCGCTGTTGTTCCATCCCTGAAAGGAAAAAGAGCCGAAAGAGCTTTTTTATTAAGCAATCTTTGAATGTATTGAGCCATATGTTACAAAAGGGGAAGTACGCAGGTGATTTAGTAATCTATACCTAAGAAAGATAGCATCACGTCTGCTCTTGATTTCCCTTTTTTATTTGCTAAGAGGTTGCTTATGATGTGCAACACTAAAATTTCACCATTTTGTTCGATTTTTGTGAAGTTTAATTTACTACTCTTTTGAGATTTTGCTGCGTTAAAATGAGGACTATAATTCAGGATTGTCTTCCTGTCCTGATCACTCGGGCCCATACACACACACACCATTGTTTTCTGCAAAGTGTGCTGTCCGCATCAGAGTCTGATAAGCTCTCTGAAACAGAGCTGTGCATGAAAGACAGGGAAATGAGGGCTTCCTGTGTCCGCTGTCACATGTAGCCCTCTCTCATTTTTTGTATTAATGGAAGAGCTCAATTATTTCGTTATAATTACAAAAAGATTCAATTAAAAGATTAGAGCACCCGACGAGGCAGGAGAATAAAAAATGATCCTTGATTGATTCGATGCTTGTGGGTGTGTGTGTGTGTGTGTCAGCGTGTGTGTTCTGTGTTGGAGGAAACAGGAAAAGTGGTGGCTGTGAGGGGTTCACACTGATTGCCTCCCAGTCCAACAATAGAGAGATACTCTGTTAGTACTCAACAAGCCATGAATAATGCTTTTACTTGTTAACTTGTGTTATTCAATCTTGCACTTTATTCCGAGGACGTTCTAGCCCATAAGCAAGTGTCCCTTCTAGCTTTTGGGCTAAGGAATATCACTTCTGATGTGTTTTAGCCCTCAGTGGTATTTTTCTGTGGGATGTCCTAATAAACTCTAAAAATATTCACGCTTACACAATTCTGTACAGGAATATTTAGTGTGGCTTGTAAATGTGCAAAGTAAGGATGTACTGATATAAAAATTCTGACTGATAAGCCCATAATTATTTTCATGTTATGGCCAATAACTGATTGATCAAATATTTTGTCTAAATAAATCTAAAGTATAACACTAAAATCAGTCATTTTTAAATGCTACAAGTAAAAATCACATCTTTATAGTGTACAGTATAAAAATGTATATTTTGCCAAATATTACAGTGTTATTAAATTATTAGTGAGTGTTAGATGACAACAAAGGTGATCTAAAAATAGTGGAAATGAGCATTCACAATTACATATCGAATGCACAACGTGAGTTTTCAAATGTCGAATCTCATAAGACCCACAGTGTCTGTGCTGTCATTTTGTGCTTATATCTTGTATGTCTGCACCCATGAATTATGCATAAGGTGTTTCGGTGTGTTTTGATGATTTAAAGGTGGTGCAGTAGCTGTGTGTGGATGGCCGCTGAACCCTGTCTAAAAGGGAGTTGAAGGCAAACCCAAGAGAGGAGGCCTGACGTGGCCGCTGAGATTCCACAGTGTGCCGCTGGAATCCATTTGCTGCTGTAAGGGCAGTTCATAATATCCCGGCAGGGTCAAGGAACTGTAAATAAGAGAGATCCGCCTCGTAGAACAGCAACAATGACTGTTTTGCGCTGCTTGAGGGATGGGTGAATTTTAGACCTTGTGTGAAATGTTGAGACAGTGTAATTGATAGAACCAAAACAAGCTCATGGTTCTGTTTGGTTCAAACAATTAGGGTGAGTTCAACACCTTGTTGTAGATTTTAGGACTACCTCGACGGTCAGGCCACGCCATTGCACAGTCCAAATTTGTTCCACGTTCTATTCAGGAAGCATTGCTAATTAGCTAATCTTTCCTCTTCACTTTCATGGGTCTCTGAGAGACACAAACAAGGCCAGGCATCATGGGATTGAAAACTCTGGGTGAGGCTCAATGGCTGTCATAGTTTGGACATCACCTCCCTTTTGTCCAATGATTTAGTGGATGTTTACTGAGTGCTCCAGAGCCTGGTTGGCAGTTTGTCTCTGGGGGCGAGGCGTTGGCAGGATCTTTGTCAGTCTGAAACCATGTGTGAGCTCAGTGTGAGGAGAGAAGTTCTGTTACCAGTGTGTTGTTGACTGACGGCTTGGCTCCGTCGTTACTAGGGCTCAATGTTATGTGAAAATGTTGGCCGAAAATATAGCTCAACCCCCACTATGTTTCTCGGCAGAGGTGGCCGTAGAATCTCCCCGTCAGTTAATCATTGGTTTTATCTAAAATGAGAATCAGGTTGAGGGTCTAGCAGCACTGTTGATGAGGTGATGCTTCTCATGAGACATTGATTCTGGTATTGAGTCTTGTTTCATTGTTCAATGTTATCTCGATGCTTTTTGATACTTGGAAAATCTGCACATTGTTGTCAAGCCTACAATGCGATAACAATACTTTCAGACTGATATTATCAGTGGTTTCATGTACGCTTGTAGCCCTTCTCACAAAAAACATCCTGTTGTACGATAGCTCTAGGGACGGGCAAGGCTGGTCAGCTAGTATTTCACTAACTGAGTTAATCTAGACTTT